CAGTGTTTGTGCCGCGCGCCGGCCCATCACAGCCACAATTGATGGCCGGCCAGCGCGGGATTAGGCCGACCGGATTCCAGCCGGCAGCGCGCTAAATGGGCGCCGCTCCTTCTCTCCGACGCGATAGCTCTGGAGACGTCAATCAGAAGCGGCGCGCGCTGTGCAAGCCGCCCGTCCGCCCACTGCCGACCGGTCGGTGCCATTGACTGGAGGCCGGGCGCGGGCCGGACTGTCAGGTGCCATGCGTCCGCCGCCATTAGTCGCTCTTTACGGCCGTCGGTCGGTGGTGGCGGCCGACGGAGCGCCGTCATGATGGGAGCTCGGCGTTCCATCACCGCGCGGTCTGCAGCAGCGGAGCCTCCCGACCCGTCTGACCGCACGCCGCCGCCTCTGCTGCTGCTGCTGCAGCCGGCAGAACGAGTCGGATTTGGCGACTGGCATTCCGCTAAAGTTATTGATCCGCTTTTTAAACCAGCCTGACGTTGATTCCAATTAATGACATCCCAATTGATGATGTGACACCTCTGTTATCGCTTTTTGGTCAGAGGAAGAAAAAGGTGATGTGATTTCTGGCCGGCGCCGCGACAAGTTGCCTTCCTGCTTCCCTAATCTGGCCGGCCAGGCGGCCATATTCTGGAGCTGTGGAATGTCCCATGACGAATTACGGAGCGCCGTTCGTGACCAATTTCGCTGGCCGTCCAGCAGTGACACACGGCTCGTGAGTCCAACAGGTTAGCCTGAATGCTGTCCACCATTTTTATCGGGTGCATCCGTTCACGCCGCTAGTCAGTAACTGTCACGAGGTATTACCACGACGGCCGACGGCAGACAAATGAGAACTGCGTGGCCGCCGTTTTAAATTGGCGACTTTTATTCTCACAATGCGGTGGCTTCACGAAGGCAACAAATTACTCTCGTTATTGACGACTGGTAGTAAATGTATGACCGAGACGCCAGCGGGCTTCATTATGCGGTTGATTTCTGGTCTCTGCTCGTGCCACCCGCAGCAGCGGTCGTGTGGGATACGGAGCGGAAGCAGGCCTCGGAGAGAGACCGCCCGGCCGTGCGGTGTGAGCTCAGGGCACGGTTTATGGTGTGCCCGCCCGGCCGGCCGACCGTCCGCCTCTCACACTTCCCGGCGCGCCGATCATTACGGCAAACAATCCTATCGGGGCGCCGCGCCGATAGCCGCTATCGGATCAAACTAAACGAAACATTAGCATACAGTACAATCTGGCCATCGAGGGGCAGCTGCCGGCGAGCGAGCGCCACAGTAGCGCGACGGCGCACTCGGGCAAACAGCGCCGTATCGCGACAAGACAATGAGAGAAGCCAATCGGCCCCGCCAGAGCCTGACGTGTGAAACGAAGACCGTTTGTGGTGAGTCAGCGCGTCTTGCGGTTTCTCTTGTTATGTTATAGTTAAAAGAAACGAACATATTTGTAGCTACAGGTGTTGAAAAGATTTAGCTGTTCGTACTTGCTAGGTTGCACGGTGATGTGTGTGAAATCCTCACTTCGCTGGCATTGCTGAAGGGATTGCACTCGTCAGTCGTTGTCTTAGGACACGGTCTGACGGATTCCACCCGTAGCCGTTTTTACGTGGAGCTGCTCATACCGGTTATAGGGCCACCTCAGAGTCGCCGGTGTGAATAACCGTCGGCCATTAGCGGCTCGGCGGTAATTTTCAATATCGGGCGGTCGCTGAGTGCCCGCTGACAGGGTGCTGACATATCAGCGCCGACAGCCGAGCCGGCGGGCCGCTGACGGCCGCGGCACGCTCGGCTGACACCTGGCTATGGTGAGAATGTGTCACTGCAGAAAACCGCCCGGTGCACTCAGTCGGGCTGCAGTCCCGGTGGGGCCGCTCGACGGCCTAGTGTCGCCGGGATCGCGTGTGCCGTGTGCTGGGTCCGCGCCGTCCTCGGCAAGGTAGGCGCCGCGGCCGTCGCCGTGCCGCCCCGCGCCGGGACATGCCCCAGCCGTGTTCCCGATGCTCGCGGCGTTAAAGCCGACAGGGATGGTGCAGCGACGCCCGACGGAGGTGAAAAAGAGCGTCGTGCAGTGTCGGTGGCGTCATTAAGTCGGTGCTCGGTGTGGTCGCGCCTCTGACGGCCGACCACACACGGGGCCGGCGCGGTGCGCGCTGTCTGCCGCACCTATACATGGTGCGCCGAGCCGGCGCGTCACAGGCCAACCGCCCGGATATGCAAAATGAATGACACCTGATTGATCAGCGGCTGCCGGCGCCGCCACTGATGGCGATCTACCGAGGTCACTGCCGCCGCGTGGGGGCGCAGAAAACATTCACTGGCAATGGGGAACGGAGGGGTTCAGCGAGGGTAGATGCCGGTGCCTCTGGACGAGGAAATGTGCGAGAGAGCTTGGTACCGCTCGCGAGAAATACGAGGACCTTTTCAGCAACGACTTGTTATATAATATGCGGTCTAAAAGGCTTTCATGGCCGGTCTAATTTTTGCCCGCGCTGCTTAGCATTAAGTCCTTCTGGAGGCCATGTCGGCCACCTGTGACGGAGCTCCGGTAGGGTGTCTCCGCTGAAGTCTGCGTGGGCCGTCCGCGGGCCGCGGGGGCGACTGGCCGGCCAGTGCCAGTGTCCGGCCACCGCCGCGCTAATGAAGCCGCCCTGTTTGCGTGTCGCCGTCACATTCCCGTGTCAGTGTATCTGCGGCGCCCATCGGCCGGCTATCGCCGCTGGACCCGGCCCGTGTCGCGCCCAGACACAATTAATGGCCGCCGCCGCCTATCTGACACTCTGTGGCCAAACAGCGGCCGTTTAAGAGGCCCAATGGACGCGCCGGCCGGCTGACATGATTATTCCGAGGGAGAGGGCCGTGTGAGCCTGGTCCACGACACGCCATCGTTCCTCAGTGTCGTGTCCGGTGCCGGGGGACAGGACAGGCGGGTCACCGTCCCACCATTACCGGCGCCCGCTCCTCCCCCGCCCCTGCTCCGCTCTCCCGCCTCTGCGTGCGAAGGACGGCGCCGCTGTCCCGTCCGTCTCCGGGCGATTGGCTTGGTTACGGCGCGATCAGCGCCGAGATGGCAGCCGCCCTCCGGTGCTGACAAGGCGATCACGAGAGCGCATCATTACCGCCAGCGCCGGCCGCAGCCTCAGAGCAGTGCTGAAGCACAGCGCCGGGCGATGATCCCGTATTGTCTCCGGGATCTGGCGCGACTCCAACTGATAGATCCTCTCTGTCCTCTCCTCTTTTCTCTCCTCTTTTTGCTATTTATCGAAAATTGAACTTGTATACACTGATATACTCCTATAAACACGGGATGATTTGTGGCCAAAAATAACTAAGAGTAAGAAAACGTTTATTAGTTCCATTTCAGTTCACAGTCCCATTATTGAACGCCATAACTTCCCGGTGCCCCTCGGCGTTTGTGTATACGCAGTAATGCCGCAGCGGTTTTTGTCGCCCCGGTCGTCCCGGTTTTTGGCCGGAGCTGTCGGCGCCCCGCGGCTCCCGAACCCAGTGTGGTGCGCTGCGTGCCGTCTGAGCACCCCCGGGGGTCTCCGGGCCGCCGGGGGCACTGTCTCCGTCTGCGTGCAGACCCGTCCCCCGCCGCGGAGCAGCAGCCGGCGCGGCGCCAGCCCCGCCTGAATTGATCACTAATGTTTCTGCAGCGAGTGTCACAGAGCAGCTGTTTGCTTATGTGGCCGGGCGGCGCGGCCGGCCGCCGGTCTACCTGTGTAAAGTTTATCCGCGGTAATAACGGCCCGTGTGGAGGACGGACCGCCGCCGTGTTTATCGCGACTCCTCCGCACGCTGTTCAAAGGCGGCGGCCCGGGCGGGCTGGAACGGCTCTGGTCGGAGCAGAGCCCGGACCAGCCTGCCGTCACAGGCAGAGAACAAGTCCGATCAGTCTCCACGCAGGCCACAGGTGCGTCTCCTCCCGGAACACAGCTGCGCCGGTCTCGGATCGCCGGCCTGGAACAAACTCAATCCCAGAGCGCAGTTATTTCCAGATCCATCCTTCTCCTGTTGATACCGGTCCCCTAGAGACCAGTGGATTGGCACTGCAGCCCGCGGGAGGCTACCTTCAGCTCGGGTTTTCAATCCCAAAGGTATATCGCTTCCGACTGGTGTAGATGTCTTGAAAGAAATCCTTTGAGGATTCGCCCGATCTTTAACCGAACTTTACGGACCACAGCGGATGCTGCGTCACTCCCCGCCGCTGTTCCGGCGCAGTCCCCACCACCACAGTCCTCCCTCTCATTCAGCAGTCCCTGCCGTGCGGGCGGTGACTCCTCAGAGGCGCGGTCACGCCTCCCGCTGCCGCCCGTGCCCTCGGGTCGCATCAGCCGTCACGCCCCAGTCATCCGAGCGGCGTCGGCGGCGCGGCGGTCCGGACCGGCCCCATGGTGACCGCGCGCCGCGCCGGTCGGCCGGCCCGTATCGGGAGCCTTTCATGTCTGCGGCGCGCCGCATGGCCGCCGAGCTTCAAAGGCCGGCGCCGCCGCCGCCGCGCAACGCCATCGCCTATTCATTGTGATAAGTGTCGCCTGATTTCGCCAACACCTGTCATGCAGTCGTGTCAAAACAGGAGACAATTTATTCGCGTCTCATTGCGCGCACAGAGTCAACGTCAGCCGCCTATATTACGGCGTGGCCTTTCGGCCGCGGGCGTGTCGCCGGCAGTTTATACGGTGGTCGCGTGTGCACGCCCCTGACCCGACGTTACGAGCCGGACGGCTATTGTCGCCTCTGCAGCCTCGCTCGGATGAAGAGCTGAATATATTGCACCGCTGCCGCTAATGCTTTCTTCCCGGTGAGCCGGCGCGCCGCGTCTCTGAGATGAACCGGGCTTTACGAGGCGTCTCTGGCTGTAGGTAATTGTGCAGGCGGCCGACGGAACCGTTCTCCCTTGAGTGGCTGCCAGTGCCAGCAGATGCAGGTGGCCGCGCCTTTTGAGCCCGACAAATTGGATTTTCGCGTCGCTCAGAACTTTCTAATTTGGTGTTTTCTTCTGCAGATGGGCGGCGGTGCTGTGCTGGCTGCTGGCGGGAGCCGTCCTCGGCACGGCGCAGAACATCAAAGGTACGTACACCGTGGATGGCGGCGGCGCCGGCCCTCCGAGCCGCGACATTCATTAGGCGCCCGAGCTCCTGTAATGAACGGCTCGGCCTTCCGGATGAAGGCCGAGAGGTCTTGTCTTATGTCGCGCGGAAACTAGATTCCTCGCTCGGATATGGAGCTGATCAGCTTAGCATGCGGGCGAGAGAATGTGTCGTAGGATAAGCTTTTTTATTAGCGTCAGTGATATAGGGATTACGTATATGTAGTAGCACTCCATTTCCAAATGAGTGGAGCATAAAACTCAGGCAAATTATACCACATGAATCGAAACAGATGTGTTCAGCCGTGGTATTAAAGCCTCATGGCTAGGTGTTTCGGATACCTTTCCTAATATTGTTTTCGGGATCGATACAATTATTCATGGCTTCCTGATGCAATGATCTGACATCGCATTCTACTAATTTTTCGAATGCCGGACGGAAAAAATGCCGACACGACACGTACGATACATGCTTATTTCGCGGGAATAACCGAACCGCGTAGGCGTAGTCGTGCGGCACAGCATAACTTCAGGCGCCTGCTACTGGCGCCATCTAGGGACAGCTATATAAGTAAAGGAGATGCAAATGATCGCATTTTACTGGATGACGGGCGCCGTTGAACAACTGGCGACCACGACTCATGCTTACTTAGTACTTACTATTGTCACGGCTGACTACTGAATGTATTCGCCATTATCTCGACGTTTGACTCTGTTGGATGAACAAAATATTGCCTCTGCTTATATTCGAAATTTCATGAACTTACCTACCATATCACGTCAGGCGTTGAGTTTCGTTGACGGTTGACGGCCATTCTGTAATTATTTGCACCAAATCTGAATATCGTTGGTAGACACCCTGGTATTTCCAGAAAGACATTAGGTGGGCCGTATCTCTCAGCTCTATTATTTCGGGCGCTAATGGCCGACAGATCGATCCTATCCGGTGGCTTTGCTCTGTTCTCCCCTGACAGAGGCGCGCTGACAAAGCCCGGGCCGCGCTGACGACCCCGGGACCTTGCTGGCGGGGCGCTGGGTTCGCGCTGACGGGGCTCAGGGTTCGCGCTGACGGAGCTCCGGGTCGTCATCGGTGGGTGGGCCGTCATCAGCCGCGCCGGCCGGCGGTGTCGGTCCGCGATAGGCCGGGCCATGCGTCAGGCGCGGCGGCGACCAGCCGTGGAGCGGGGCACCATCCGTCAGGCGGCAGGCGACAAATGGGCCGCGTCTGGGGCGCCGCGACGAACCACGGCTGGCCATTCCGGCGGACCATTGTGCTGTGCGGCTCAGGGACGGCGCCGGGGTCACGGCGCCGCTCCCGGGGACCCGCCGACCGGCCGCGGTGGTCGCCGCCTCCGCCACACCACCTGGTCGTGCCGGGTCACAATTCCACGAACCGCACCGGCTCAAAACTACGCCACGAAATATCTCCGTCTCAGCCCCTCCAGAAGTTCAAGGATAAAACTTACAGACCCGACAGACCTTGCAGAAGTTTGGTGCGGTGACCAGCAGTGCCTCTCCGAGGGAAACTTGTACACCGTTCGTGGTGTCATGAGTTGCTGCGTGGTCGTCGGGCGCCACTGGGGCTGCCGGCCGACCCGTGGGTCCCGGACTCCCGGCGGGGCCGCCGTGCCGCGCCCCGCCGACGACGGAGCCGGTAAACACTGGCCGTCGATGTTGGCAGACAGCGGCGCGCGGACGGCTCGCGTGACGCCCCAGCACTTACGGAGTCCTGGCACCTCTGCGGCGCTCTGAGAGCCCAGTGACGCTCCAGGGTTTGATGTTTCTGTCATAGCATTCCCGTGAGCAGCTCCCATGACATACTGGAAGTGGATATCGAACCAGAATTCGCATCTCTTGTCCACAAATTTTTAATGCCACTCCATGGACACGACCTGTGTCCTCTCTGTTGCCCATCCGATCGGCATTTTGACGCGAATGTGTGGACAGGAGGTGGTACGCCGCAGATGTCAGTCTTCTGGCCCAGCCCTGATGCAGTTGGTCGGCATTTAGCAGCAGCTCTCGGTATTCTATCGCTGCTTTCATTGGATGTTAGTGGTCTCTGCAGCCTGGCTCTTACAGAACAGTGGCCAGTCAAAGCCCGCTGAGGTGGGTGGCGGCACACTGTCGGCCGGTGGACAGCGGCTCCCTCAGAGTCGCCGCCGTGCCGTCAACTTCAGATAGCCCCGCGGCGTGCCGGCGCCACTCGATTCCCCGGGGGCCTGACCCGGTCGGCACTGCTCCAGTGACAACTCGACCCGACCCGGTGTTTAACCCGTGATAGCGACAAATAAGCGGCGCTTCATATAGGGTCGTTCTGGCTCACGACCCTCCCCAGGATGAAGTCTTCACTGGGGGAGCCGGCCTGCGCCGGTTGCCGCTACTGCTGTCTCATCCCGATGGCCAATCACGCCCAATATTGGTCGGTCATGGCGTCGGCGCGAGCCTGTGACTTCATAGAGTGACGCCGCAGCGGTGGCGGCTCGGCGCGATCTTATCCGCGTGGCTTCTGAGTAATTTCATTACTGGCGCCCAAGGTCATTAGCGTCGGCGGCCGTCCTGACGAGCTGCAGCGGCGATAGCCTTGTGGAGCGGTGGCGGACTTGTCGATGGTGTGTCGCGCGCCGGTCCGGGCACGGCGGTGCTGCGGCCGCCGGTCCGGTCCGGTCCCGGCCGGAGCCACGGACAGGGCCCCAGCTGCAGAGCCGCGCCGAAGCCGCTGCACACTCGGACATGATGGCGATAATGATGTCGATGCTGTTGTGGTCTCAGGCACGGCAGCGAACGGCCGGCGGCAACATCGGCTTTGCAGACCGCTGAACAACTGACTCAGGGTTAAGTATGTAACGTCCCCCATAATGTCAAACGTAAAAACACTCAGCTAGGCTTTGAGGATATTTTTCCATCAAACAACACAATGCAATCCGTCATAACTACTCCTCCTAAATCCTCATACGGTTATAATGTGGCGGGGCAGAATATAATCCGATCGTCATGATGTCTTCAAACTGACACCAATTAATTTTTCCTCTCGTTAAAAATGTCTCCAAGAATGACATGGCTCATTAAATTTGAAGGACTGTGAAAATGAGGAACATTTCGCTAATTATGTGGCGTGTCTTGAAACATTTTAACGCCTACTTGTTTTCCCGCAAAAAAAGTTTGCGGCTTATCTAAGGACATGCAAATACCGGCAACCTTGGCGCATTAGCTTGTTGCGGGAATTTGTGGAATGCAGTGGCCAGTTTTCCTACAATCTGGCCACCAAAACCACTACCTTTGCCGAGTTATCGTTGGATTCCTTTTGCTACTTCCATCGTTGATTTTCCGTCTGCCAAGCGCCCAAACACTGCCAAATGCCAGCTCTCATTCTGCACGGAGTGGGGATCGGTCGCGATTGTTGACATCTTGCCGAGAATGATTTCCGGCCAATGACGTCAGCGGGTATCGCCGGCTGACAGCTGACATTCGACACGGACTCTGTGTTTGACTGTCTCCGGACCACCAGTACACAGCGCTGACTCCGGCGGGGAAACTGTGAGCTCGCGTGTCTCTAACAGACGCACTGTTATGACGGAGGAGATAAAGTGCCCGCGGCCCGAGTTGAACACAAATACTGGGTGTGGATTCGGGTGCCGACTGGATGTTTGGACGGATTTGTCACCGATTGACGGCGTGCTGAATTTATAGCGCAAATCTACAGCTCAACTTTCACTGCATCATGAAGTCACGTAAAGCGCTAGTGATTGTTCACGAACACAAAAGTGACATTGACAACCCTATATCTCAACACGCGGCGAAGAAACGGCTGTCATTGGCTCGGTGCAACGTTTCAATATGCTTAGGGCGGCTGATAGCGGCGAAATGAACCCGTTGCCAGAATTCGCTTACCTATATTTCACATTGCATGCTATTGATAAATGTGGAAAACAAATTGATGGCGAATGCGAATGTCCGGATAAATTGCAACGGACGTAACAAATGGCAAACGATTCGTTACTTCAGCAAGTGTAGCTCGCTGCTCGGTGAAGTGTTTTCGACAGGTCTTCATCTTTTTGCTAAAGAAGCCGATGTTATTTGACAGTCGATGAAAGGTAGCAATCAATTGATCCGAAGCTCCTTCATAATTTTCGTGATGCTTTTGACAGTTCATTATGCCAGATTTTATGAAGCAGTGCTGACAGAATCTAAATCACCACGAGGTACTCTCATCAGTCACCCACGCCTTCCTTCATTGATCATTTCTACATAGTACATACTCCGCCTTCCTCGCCCGCCGTTGGGTCCGCTCCATTCACCCCTCCCCTCCCCGCCGATACGTCCGCTGCTGGTTAGCGTCGGCGCCGGCCGATCGCTGGGACAGTCTGGGCGCTGACGGCCGATTATCGGGCGCTGATGTGGCCGGCCGGACCGGCGATATACCACGGCCAGTGAGACGGACCAGCCAGCCCGCCGGCTGTCAGCGGCCGGAGCGGCGGCGGCGTGCCGACCGACGGGAGAGTCCTGAGGCTGCTCGGGCCGGCTCTGGATACCGCTGCAGGTCCCCGCCGCCGCCTTTGCTGAGAACCACACGGGGTGCCGGCGGTTGACCCGGCCGTTGCGGTCATTAGTGTCATCGGCACAGCTCGTAAACTGATGGAACGTGCCCCGCCGCAGTCTGCTGGTGGGGCAAGGGGCAGGCCGAGCTAGCCGATTCGCCGCTGCTCTGTCATAGCTGCATGGCTTTCGGTGACCGCCGGGACTGACCTCTGCTCACCCCGCTGATTGTCCTGGTGTGACCTCTCGCTCGAACGGAACGGTCTCTCCATCCGTCTCCGGCGACGTGGTGTGCCGGTGACACCGGCTGAGTCGGTGCCCGCCCCGCCCCGCCCCGTGGGCGCGCGCTCCGCCCCCCTCTGCGCTCCATTAGTCAGCCAAATAAATGGCGTTTGACAGCGGCGGTGTGCGACTGACGGCTGACGGCCGGTCGCCGTCGCCGCTCCTA